TTATTTCTCAGTGACTTCCACACTTCAGGAGAAGTGCTGCGGCCACATAGACCTGACTCAGCCAAGCAATGGGGGGATGCTTTGCAAGTTTATTTTCTGCAAGTACTGTGCATTTTTAAGGCTTTCTACACTGAGCTGTGGAAGGACCAATTAGTACAGTGATGGCTCAGGTGCATGCTGTGGGAGGGAGTTTTTCCTCCTCCCTCCTCCTCTGGCTGTAAATGCCATGTCTATGTCAGACTCAGCCAGTCTTGCTTCACCCAGAGCCTGGGCTCTGAGTGTGGTCTGACGAGCATGCAGCATGTGAGTTGCTCTGCCAGAATAACTGCTTCTGGGGTTTTATTTGTGGTGTTCAGGTTTTGACAGGGCTTGAGGTGAGGTTACTGAGATGAAGTCTGAGTTAAAGGATAAATAAGTTCATATTTCTGCCCTTCATTCCCAGATTCTTGTTTTGCTCCAGGCTTAAGACATGCCTCCTCTCCTTCAGATTTTTTTCATCCTTCTCAGCATTGGTAGTTTCCAGTAAATAGTTGCTGTGTGCAAATATTACATATAAATAAAAATTAAACACTACATCCACTGTATTCCTCTCAGGAAACAGTCATCATCTACTTCTATTCATCTTGCTACAGTTTCTCAGCTTACCCTCAGGGGATACTTCCCAGCTCCTGGAGCTGAAACTGAGGGTTGTGAGCATCAGTAGTGCTGTGTCCCTTGCTCTGTCACGTCCCCCGCAATCCCACATGTGTTGATGATAGCAACTCCTCTTATGACTAAGGTCGTTTTACTGACAACATCAGGAACTGTCCTGGGTTCAGCAGTAGCAGTCATTTTTCTCCTTGGTAGCTGGTACAGTGCTGTGTTTTGACTTTCGACTTGGGAACAGAGCTGATAACAATGATGTTTTGGTTTGGCCAAGGACTTTGTGAGCCTCATGCTCTGCCAGGGAGGAGGGGAAGCTGAGAGGAAGCAGAGACAGAACACCTAACCCAAACTAACCAAAGAGGTGTTCCATACCACAGCATGTCATGCCCAGGATGTAACTGGGAGTTACCTGGAAGGGCTAAAGGACTGCGGGGTTGGAGGAGGTATCGGTCGGTCTGGGGGGGCAAGTAGCCCTCCTCTGGACTTGTTCCAACAGTTCCATGTCCTTTTTATGTTGAGGACACCAGAACTGCATACAATACTCGAGGTGAGGTCTCACAAGAGCAGACTAGAGGGGCAGGATCACCTCCTTTGACCTTCTGGTGACGCTCCTTTTGATGCAGCCCAAGATACGGTTGGCTTTCTGGGCTACGAGCACACACTGCCGGCTCATGTTCATTTTCTCATCGACCAACACCCCCAAGTCCTACTCCACAGGGCTGCTCTGAATCTCTTCTTTGACCAACCTATAGGTGTGCCTGGGATTGCTCCAACACAGGTGTAGGACCTTGCACATGTCATGGTTAAACTTCATGAGTTAAACTGCTACCACCAATAATGATGTCCACCTATAATGATGACCAATGTCCTTTGTCAGAGTAAACATTACTTAGCAAGAAGTAAAAACATTGGTGTTATCATATAAATATAAGGAAGGGATTCTTTAGGTACGTTGCAAATAAAAGACAGACTAGGGACAACGTGGGTCCTGTCTGGAAGCTATCAGGAGAACTGGCTACCGTGGCTTTGGAGAAGGCTGAAATTCTTAATGACTTCTTTGCCTCAGTCTTCACTGGCAAATGCTCTGACCACACCACCCAAGACTTGGAAGGCAGACTCAGGGACTGTGAGAATGAAGACCTTGGGCCCACTGTAGGAGAGGATCTGGTTCGAGACCATCTTAAGAACCTGAACATGCACAAATCCATAGGATCTGATGAAATCCATCCACGAGTCCTGAAGGATCTGGTGAATGAATTTGCTCAGCCACTGTCCATCATATTTAAAAAATCATGGTAGTCAGGTAAAGTTCCCGATGACTGGAAAAAGGGAAATATAACCCCCATTTTCAAGAAGGGGAAAATGGATGACCCAGGCAATTACAGACCAGTCAGTCTCACCTCTGTGCCTGGCAAAATCTTGGAGCAGATTCTCCTGGAAGGCATGCTAAGGCACATGAAAAACAACAAGGTGCTTGGTGACCGCCACCATGGCTTCACTAAGGGGAAATCCTGCCTGACCAATATGGTGGCCTTCTATGATGGAGCTACGGAACTGATGTGCATGGGTAGGGCAGTTGACGTCATCTACCTGGACTTGAACAAAGCCTTCGACACTGTCCCACACAACATCCTTGTCTCTAAATTGGATAGACATCAATTTGATGGATGGACCACTCTGTGGATAAAGAACTGGCTGGATGGCTGCACACAAAGAGTTGTGGTCATTGGCTCAATGTCCAGTTGTAAAACAGTAACGAGTGGTGTCCCTCAGGGATCGGTGTTGGGACCGGTCTTGTTCAACATCTTTGTCAATGACATGGACAGTGGGATTGAGTGCACCCTCAGCAAGTTTGCGAACGACACCAAGCTGTGTGGTTTGGTTGATAAGCTGGAGGGAAGGAATGCCATCCAGAGGGACCTTGACACGCTTGTGAGGTGGGCTGATGCCAACCTCACGAAGTTTAAACATGCCAAGTGCAAGGTCCTACATCCGGTTCAGGGCAATCCCAGGCACAGCTGCAGCTTGGGCGGAGAGGATGTTCAGAGTAGCCCTGTGGAGGACTTGAGGGTATTGGTCGATGAGAAACTTAACATGAGCCGGCTTAAGTGTGTGCTCGCAGCCCAGAAAGCCAACCGTATCCTGGGCTGCATCAAAAGGAGCGTCACCAACAGGTCGAAGGAGGTGATCCTGCCCCTGTACTGTTCTCTCATGCGACCTCACTTGGAGTACTGTCTACAGTTCTGGCATCCTCAACATAAAAAGGACATGGAACTGTTGGAACAAGTCCAGAGGAGGGCCACAAGGATGATCAGAGGGTTGGAGCACCTGCCTTATGTAGACAGGCTAAAAAAATTGGACTGTTCAGACTGGAGAAGAGAAGGCTTCATGGAGACCTCAGAGCAGCCTTCCAGTATGTGAAGGGGGCCTATAAGGATGCTGGGAGAGGATTCTTAATTAGTGCCTATAGTGATAGGACAAGGTGTAACGGGTTAATATTTAAACATTGGCAGTTTGGATTTTATATAAGTAAGAAGTTCTTTACTTTTAGGGTGGTGAGGTGCTGGAAAGGGTTGCCCAAGGAAGTTGTTAATGCTCCATCCCTGTTGGTTTTCAAGACCACATTTGACAGATCCTTTGGTGACCTGATTTAGTGTGAGGTGTCCCTGCCCACTGCCCAGGACAGGTTGGAACTTGATGATCTTAAGGTCCTTTCCAACCCTAACTGTACTATGATTCTGTGATTATATGATTTGAGATTATTGCCCGGTCTTCTGATGCCAGGGCTGGTTTCATGTAGGGAGTCATTGCCAGAGAACCATTGGGGAGTTGGTTGTTCATGGTCCCTGGTGAGGTCTTGAGCATCGTCTTGACTATCATCCATGAATACGTTGTGCGCTAAGAAACACTTGGATGGGGCATCTTTTTCACAAATGTTTGAAATAGTAATGACTGTTTTAATTCATTAATATTATCCAGTTTAATTTAAGTAACATACTAAGTGTACTTGGCTGGCATGTATTTGTGGAAGCAAGTGAGCCTTGCCTGAGCCCCATGCAAGTGCATCCATATGTGAATAGTTACAGGCTCATCAGAAGGTCAGGAAACACTGTGGGTTAAGGCGAAATAAATATTTGAGAAATGCAGGAGAAAGGACAGTTATTGTAGGGACCAGGTACTGACTTTGAGAACAGGCTGAGGAGAAGCCATGCACAGGTGAAGAAAGATGTTTTATCTGTAAGAACTGATAAGGAGCAACATCCACCTTCAGAAGCCAGGAACAAGAAGATAGCAAATTTCCCAGGGTAAAGGTGAGATGTTGAGTTGAAGTCGAGGGCATGACAGAGCTGTGAAGCCCATATATGCCACCAGGCAAGCATGCTTTCCAGCAGACTGCTTTCAGAGCAGAGAAATGTAGAGATCTCTCAGTTCCCCTTGTTTTGGGTAATGGATGTAGGAATTAGCACCTCGTGCTAATTCTGCACTATCTCATTAACAGCTAAGCTTTGTAATTGGCCTGTGTTTTCACTGCTGGCTTGCAGACCTCCTTCTGCTCTTGGGCTTCTGTACCCATGGTGGAAAAAGACGGACTTCTCTGGAGCACAAAGAACAATTGTTCCTTGTTTCTCAAAGTGCACATCTGTCCTAGGTTTAGCAGTAGCAGTCATTTTTTCTCCTTCTCTTCTCTAGGCTGAACAGCCCTGCCGGGCTGTCGTGGTTTAAACCCAGTCGGCAACCCAGAACTATGCAGCCACTCGCTCACTCCCTCCCTTCCTCCCCCTGCTCCTGGAGAGATGGGGAGGAGAATCAAAAGGATGTAACTCCCATGGGCTGAGATATGAACAGTCCAGTAACTAAGGTATAACACAAAACCAATACTGCTCCCACCAATAATAATAATGATAAGGGAAATAACAAGGGAAGAGAGTACAAGTGCTCGCCACCCGCCGACTGATACCAAGCCTGACCCAAGCAGCGATCTACCCCTTCCAGGTAACTGCCCCCAGTTTATATAATAGGCATGATGTGCTGTGGTATGGAATACCTCTTTAGCTAGTTTGGGTCAGGTGTCCTGCTTCTGCTTCCTCCCGGCTTCCCCTCCTTCCTGGCCAGAGTAAACATTATTTAGCAAGAACTAAAAACATCGGTGTTATCAGCATTGTTCCCAGGTTGAAAATCAAAAACACATCACTGCACCAGCTACTAAGAAGGAGAAAAATGACTACTATAGATGAACCCAAGACAGTATCCACCCCTTATTCCATACCACTCACGTCATGCTCAGATCCCACATTTTTCAATGTACCATCGCTTTTGTCTCATATATATATAAATATATATATATATGTACCCACACACAAACAAAGACAGAGATATCATTCCTTAGTCCATGGACCAATCCCTATAAAGCTGCTGGATTAATCTGGTCCATGATGTCGGGCTCCATCTCTTGTACCAGTCCTTCAGAGCACGACAGGCTGTGTGCAGTGTTGGATTGTTGCCTGCTGATGACACCACGGAACTTGTCTGGTAACTGCTGAGCTGGTCTGGTTTCATCAAAGTTCATTCTTTGTTGGGATGATGGTTGGAGGGAAGTCAGGGCCAGTCGCTGGTGATCTCAAGATATCTAGTTGGTGGGCTATAAAAGTGCTACATAGCAGGCAACAGCATACAATTGAGTTCATTGGCTGGTTTCCCCTAAAATCAAATCCCCTTGAGGTACACATCGGACTCCCCCATCTTCCTGCATTACCCACCAAGTATGTCTGGGCCGCTGAGCAAAAGCAATCCCACAAGTGGGTTTGCCTTTACCTGAAGGAGGAATAACCCTGACTGTCTTCCCCAGAAAATTCTTTATGTACACCACAGGAACTTTATCCCCTTCTGCAGTACGTAAAAGTTCTGATTTGGCTGAGCCAGCCCTGTTGGCAGATCCCCTAGTGTTGACCAACCAGGTGTCTTTTGGTAAATGTGTATCCCAATGTTAGAAAGTCTCACCAACCATTGCACTCAGTGTAGTTTTTAACAGCCAATTGTATTGTTTGATTTTTCCAGAGGCTGGTGCATGGTAGGGTATGCGATATACTCACTCAATGCCGTGCTCTTTGGCCCAAGTGTATTTAAGGTTGTTCCAGAAATGAGTCCCACTCTCTGACTCAGTTCTCTCTGGGGTGCTGTATCGCCACAAAAACTGTTTCTCAAGGCCCAGGATAGTGTTCCGGGCAGTGGTGTGGGGCACAGAGTATTTTTCCAGCAATCCGGTGGTTGCTTCCACCATGGTAAGCACATGGTGCTTGCCTTGGCGGGTTGGTGGGAGTGTGATATAGTCAATCTGCCAGGCCTCCCCATATTTGTACTTGAGCCATCGTCCTCCATACCAGAGGTTTTAACCGTTTGGCTTGTTTAATTGCAGCACGTTTCACACTCATTAATAACTTGGACAATAGTGTCCGTTGTTAAGTCCACCCCTCAGTCAGGAGCCCATCTGTATGTTGCATCTCTGCCCTCATGTCCTGAAGTGTCATGGGCACCCTGGGCCAAAAATAATTCACCTTTATGTTGCCAATCTAAGTCCATCTGAGCCACTTCAATCATAGCAGCTTTATCCACTTGTTGGTTGTTCTGGTGTTCCTCAGTGGCCCGACTCTTGGGTACATGAGCATCTACGTGGCGTACCTTCACCAGCAGTTTCTGCACCTGGGCAGCGATACCTTTCCACAGTGCAGCAGCCCAGATGGGTTTACCTCTGCGTTGCCAGTTGCTCTGCTTCCATTGCTGCAACCACCCCCCCAGGGCATTTGCCACCATCCATGGGTCAGTATAAAGTACCGGCCACTTTTCTCATTCAGCAATGTCCAAGGCCAGCTGGATGGCTTTCACCTTGGCAAACTGACTGGATTAACCCTCTCCTTCAGCAATTTCTGCAACTTGTCATAGGGGACTCCATACAGCTGCCTTCCATCTCCAATGCTTTCCCACAAGACAGCAGGACCCATCAGTAAACAAGGCATACTGCTTTTCACTTTCTGACAGCTGATTATATGGTGGGGCCTCTTCAGCACGCATCACCTCCTCCTCTGGTGGCATTACAAAATCTTTATCCTCTAGTAGTCCATAATGTTTTCTAGAATGCCTGTACAACTGGGATTTCCTATTTGAGCTTGTTGTATAATTAGTGCAGCCCACTTGCTCCATGTAGCTTCGGTTGCATGATGTGTAGATGAGACCCTGCCTTTGAATATCCAGCCCAGCACGGGCAACCAGGGTTCCATGAGGAGCTGTGCTTCAGTGCCAATCACTTCTGAAGCAGCTCGAACCCATTCACAGGCTTCAGGTATCTCTGTTTCAGTGGCAGTGTAGCTGGCCTCGGATCCTCTGTATTCCCGACTCCAAAAGCCGAGGGGTTGACCTCGAGTATCCCCTGGAGCTTTCTGCCAGAGGCTCCAAGTAAGACCATTCTTCCTGATTGCGGTGTAGAGCACATTTTTCACATCTTGCCCAGTCTGGACTGCTCCAGGGGCAACTGCATGAGCTATCTCTTGTTTCATTTGCTCAAAGGATTGTTGTTGCTTAGGGCCCAATTAAAATCATTCTTCTTTCGGGTCATGTGATAGATAGAGCTTACAATCAAACTGTAATTTGGGATGTGCATTCTCCAGAACTCCACACCACCCAAGAAAGCTTGTTTTTCTTTCTTATTAGTTGGTGGCGACATTGGTGTTATCTTGTTGATCACATCTATGGGGTCTGGCGACATCCATGTTGCCATTTTATTCCCAAAATTGAATCTCCTGTGCAGGTCCCTTGACCTTACTCCGTTTTATGGCAAAACTGGCTTTCAGCAGAATTTGGATTATTTTCCTTCCTCTCTCAAAAACTTCTTCTGCTCTATCGCCCCACACAATAATGTCATCAATGTATTGCAGATATTCTGGAGCTTGCCCCTGTTCCAGTACAGTCTGGATCAGTCCATGGCAGATTGTAGGGCTGTGTTTCCACCCCTAGGACCGTCAGTTCCAAGTGTACTGGATGCCCCTCCAAGTAAAAGAGAACTGTGGCCTGCAATCTGCTGCCAAAGGGATTGAGAACAGCGCATTGGCAATATCAGTTGTCACATGCCCCTTGGCTGCCTTTGAATCCAGTTCAGACTGAAGTACTAGCATGTCTGGTACGGCAGCTCTCAATGGTGGTGTGACTACATTCAGGACACTATAGTCTACTGTTAGTCTTTACTGTTCGTGATCTCGCAGGTAAAACCATAGGGTGGCCCGTGGTGTGTACCTCCTTTATCTTCTCTCTCGATCAGTAGGACACCTTTTGTTAATAGCTGTGACATGGGTTTGTACATGTGGGGAGCTGGATAGATCAGATAGATCGTCTTTGTATTTTTTGAACTCCTGGGACAGTTTTTCCACAGCTGAAATGATGGAAGGGGTGAGATTGTCTTAAAACTCTTGGAGTTGATGAATCATTTCATCCACTCTTGGTGGTGCTACATCATGCCAGGTCATTGATGCAAATGTGTGGGCATATGATGATGGTGCACTCCGTGTAAATTTCCGCCACATGGATGGTGTACATTCTACTTCAGCTGGATCTATGAGTGCATTCCTGGCATCCGGCCTGTTATAGATCATGTCTAGAGTGTCTGATTCCCTCAGAGACTGAATGCCTTTCTCTGTTGTAGTCCAGATGGCTGAATGACTCATAATGTTGTCCTTGTATGGAAAACTTCACAGCTGCCAAGAGCCATCTCCAAAGGCTGAGGTACTGTTTCTCTTTTGTAATTGCTTTGTCAATTCCCCCTTCCCTAGCAAGTGATCCCAGATGCTTAGATTCCCTGCCTTCTAGTTTGTGGCCTTCGGCCCCACTGTTCCAGCATCGGAGCAACCAGGTGATGATGTGCTCCCCTGGTTGACTGGTAAAATCTTTTCACATATTCCGTAGCTCAGTTGAATTTTGAGGTTGATAAGTCACCTCTTCTTCTTCCTCTTCCTCTGATTCACATAATAACTCTTGTTCATATGGTGTCCCGTGTAGTAAGTGCATTAATCTTTCTTCACTTCATGGGTTGCTCTTTGTACCTTTGTGATTATCACTGTGGTTGGAGTGGCTGCAATATCTGTTGTCTTAGTTGGTGCAGCTGCTGTGCTTCAGTTTTGAGTAGCGCAATCATCAAATGCATTGTCTGTTCCTTTCGGGGTTTGAGTAGCTGCTGTACTTGTCGCTGGGGTTGCTGTAGTTTCTGTGCTTGGAGTTGGAGTAGCTGCGCTGTCTGTTGCTTTGCCTTCATATCCAGAGACATCTTTTTCCTTTTGAAGGAGCTGGATAGTGTTGAACAGGGCTCTGTAGGTATAGGCCAAGGCCCAGAATATTTCCATGAGTCCAGCCAGTAACTCAGAACCATGCGACCTCTCGCTCACTCCCCCCTTCTTCCTCCCCTTGCTCCCAGAGGGATAGGGATGGGAATCAAAAGAATATAACTTCCACGTGTTGAGATAAGAACTGTCCAATAACTAAGGTATAATATAAAGCTACTACTGCTACCACTCGTAATAATAATAAGGGAAATAACAACGGGAGAGAATACAATTGCTCACCACCTGCCGAGCAATACCCAGACTGACCTGAGCAGTGATCTGGGCCTTCCAGGTAATTCCCCCTAGTTTATATACTGGGCATAACATGCTGTGGTATGGAATACCCTTTTGGCTAGTTTGGGTCAGGTGTCCTTTCTTTGCTTCCTCCCATCTTCCTGTACCACTCCTCACCAGCAAAGCATGAGACTCTGAAAGTCCTTGGTCAGAATAAACATTACTTAGCAACAACTAAAAACATCAGTGTTATCAGCATTGTTCCCAGTCTGAAATTCAAAAACACAGCACTGCACCAGCGACTAAGAAGGAGAAAAATGACTACTTAGCTGAACCCAGGACAATGACAAATAACCAAAGGGTTATTTATTCCCAGGAAAGAGTTTGTTTTATCAAGCACGCTGGTAGCATCCCTTCCTTTTTCTGCGTTGTGGTGTGTGCACGGATCCAGTTCAAGAGTCATGTCAAGAGCAGGAGCATTGCCTCAGCACAGGCACTTTTTTTTGCACAGTGTGGGGCTTTTAGTAGCTGGGTAAAAACTGGGAGCCTGGATTTTGGAGGTGAAGCAGCTGCCCTGTTGTGTCAGGGAGATACCAGCATTTACCCTGGTAAATGAGGTTGAGCCCAGCAGCACAGGATATGTAAATATGGGGTTTTGACAGTGCTGGTTAAGAAGCTTAATGTTGGTGGAGAGAAAGGATCAGTTATAATATGAATCAGCTCCCATTTTATTTCATCCACTTGCAGCAGCTTAAAGGCTGCATGTTATTTACATAGCAGGTTTGTTGAGCAGTGCTAGGGATACTGGGAACTGGAGTTGTCTCCCGCTGGCTAAATAACTAGGACACAAATAATTTTATGCTTCCCTTTCAGAGGCATCAGTGCAGACCTGTAGAGAGTGGTATTGAGTAAGCCTTTCTGCTCACTTCATTCTGGTCTTCTCAATGGAGAAGAAATTTTCAGGCTCTTGTCCTTTGGGGACTGAGCAGAGATCTAGCCCAAGTGGCCAAAGGACATGGTGCAGCAAATTGCCCTGTTTCTGGTTAACTCTGAAGTGCGAGCTGGAGCAGTGACTCAGCTTTTACAGCACTCTGTCATTAGACCTCCTACTTTCGGATGCTGTTGTACCTGCCTGTCAAGCCAGACGCTGCTTTTAATTTGTCTTTCCTTTGTCAACACTTTTTAGAGCGAGGTGTCCCTGCCCATGGCAGGGGGGTTGGAACTTGATGATCTTAAGGTCCTTTCCAGCCCTAACTATTCTATGATTCTATGAACACTTCTAAAGGCCCAAGCCTGGGATTTGGCACACACTTGCTGGCATAGGCTCACTAGGGAAGGCAGAGTGGCTGTGGTAGTGCTGGAGCTATGACACACGGAGGGACCCATCACTACCTGTGATGGTGCATGAGGAGAGCAGTAGCTGCAGTGGCACTTGTGTGGTTTTCTTTCAATATGACCTTAATAGTGACAATTGTTTTAGCATTAAACAGGCTTTACATGTTTGGGCTCTGAAGCTCTAGCATCAAAGGCAATCAGCAGTGCAGCATGCTCAGTGGTCCTGGTGCTGTGGTGGGCTGAGTGCTTCAGGAAATGGTCAAGTTCTGCACTTGGACATGCTACAGCCAGGCTCTCCTGGAGAGCTTGTGCATTGTGGGTGAGGATGTGATCTGTTGCCTTCCACTTGTAGAGCTAATTACAAGAGGGAACTCCTTCTTGCTCTCTGCTCTTGCCTTTCCATGGGAGGGATGCATTAACTAGTGAAATGTTGCTTGTGCTGGCACAGCCACAAGAGCAAAGCGGTTTGAAGACCATGTTTCTGTTGTCCTCCATGGCTGACAACATTAGATGCTGTGTCTGCTTCACTGCTGTTGAGTGAGGAGCTTTTTCTTCTGGGGTTAGCAACAGCAGCGGGGCACCCAGTTGGGCCCTGCCAGCCTTATATGGCTGCACAGAGCCTGCTCAGGGAAGGCGCTCCAATTGAGTTCATACTGAAGGGTTCTGTAGAAATATGCATGCCATATATGAATAATTCTCCTTTCTGGTGTAAATCCGCAGATCCCCATACCAGGAGCAGATTACTCATGACTTTGAGCAGAGCACTACAGCAAGAATTATATCAGTTATCAAAACCATTTCCTTATATGCCTGGGACCGCTTGCTGAGTGGCAATGTGCAGAGGCTGCAGTGGAGGATTTGTCTCTTTATGGGGGAATG